GCAGTTGTATTAGCACCTTAGCTAAAAGGCACTGTACAGACATGTATTAAGAGACATTTCCTGCCCTGAAGAGGGAGCTAATATTTTAAAAAGACAGTTACGGAGGGGAAGGGAGTTAACATCATAATGTTTATTCTGGTGATTGTGAAATGGAAACTCCTCCTAGATATTGAATACGAAGATGTCCTTTTTATCACTGCAGAAGTAATTTTTGCCTAGATTTGGAGAAATGTCTCAGATTTGACGTCTATGGCCAACACTGAGGTATTAACTGCCTTGGGATACATCTGCACTGCACCATTATTTTGAGAGAACTATGTATTAACTGCCTTGGGATGCATCTGCACTGCACCATTATTTTGAGAGAACTAGCATTATTTCGAAATAACAGTGAGAGATCTACACAGCCATTCCGTTACTTGGAAATAATTTCGAAATAACAGACGGCTTATTCTGAAATCTGTAAACCTCATTCAACGAGGAATAATGCCTGTTCCAAAATAGCTCTAGGCAAAGAAATATGGGCCTTAGTTATCAAAACTGATAGTGATTTGGAAAGCCCACCTTGACATGTAGTGAATTTGCCCAACTTTCAGACAGTGCTGGACCCTCACTAGATTCTTGATTGGCTTTACTTGGAAAAGAGATCAGACTCTGTGTGGCAGTTTGCAAAGTCTCCAGAACTAAGCAATCGATTTCCATGTTGTTTTGCCCGTCGTAAGTGCTGACCATCTGTATTAGTCAAAGCCCTGAGTATTTTCTTCTCTCTTTTACCAAAAAGGAGGGGCATGGTCAGATGGCTGTCAGTATTTCCCTAGTTTCTTCTAGAGGGAAAGGCTGGCTTCTCTGGGGAAAAGGGGAGAGGGAGTATACTGTGTTGGTAGCCCTGTTCTCAGCTGGTAGCACTCATTGGCCTACGAGGCCCTCTCAGAAACAGATGATCATCTGCGCAATGTGATTATTCCTATTATTGGGAGGAACTGGATTCTGGGCCCAAGTGAGGTGTGGGTTTAACTGGTGATTTGCTGCTCTCAAAAGCATGCAAATCATGTCATTGCTGCTTCTATGGCAGAGGGGAGTTTGGCTCTTTCTGTGTCTGACATTGCAGTGGTGTAGGTCTGTGAAGACACGTTGTGAATACTGGATGCTTCATTTTGAATAAGCCCCCAAAAGTATGCACATCCAATGCCAAACTATGCTGACCTCTTGGTCCACCGAATGGAGCCAGAAACACTGTGGTCACAACCTTTCTCATGATATTCAGGGCTTCAGCATCTGGTTCAGGAATCACCCAAGAAATGCAAAAACCAATGTTCGATATATGTATAGATGTACTATCACACCCCATTAATCTAATATATAAAGGAGAATGTTTGTATGTTTGTGCTCTAATAACTTGGACACTATAAGATCTACTGCAACCAAACTGTGCATAGGATAACCTTTTCTCCAGGTAAAAGTTTTAAAGTACTGTGGGAAGGTGTGACACCTCCCCCCCCTCCGCACTAGCTCCGCTGGCGCAATGCGATCCCAGGCCACCGCTGTTCTGAACCTGTGGCGCTTGTGCAGAGGCGGCACGCGGAGGACCACCCTCACAGTGCAGGCACACCTCAGCTGGTGTGCAAACTGGCAGGCAGGTGGACCCGGGGAGAGCAGGGACGCCGGCGTGGAAAAGGGCGCTCGCTGATGGTTAAAACCAACGCCGGGCCAGACACAAGGGGAGAGGGGGGAGAAAGAGAAGGAGGAAGGAGGAACGGGGTCTTTTGCACGTTACCACCCCTGCTTCCCCGCCACCTCCCTAACTGCTGGCCTGTGCTCCCCACAGACAGTGCCCCACTCCTCCCAACCCATCCCCCACCTCCCTAGCTGCCACCCTGTGCCCACATAGACAGCGCCCCTCAGTTCTGTGGGGAGGAGGGTCCTGCTGCTCTCACAGTGTCAGGGGTGGGCCAGGAGCCATCAGCCCCCAGGGTCTGTGACTCTGGGGTCCCCTGGCTCAGGGTCCCCTCCTTTTCTAAATTTTCTAAATTTTGTTCCTTCGGTTTCCCGAGCAACGCCGGGTAAGTCCAGCTAGTGACTCATATTTGGATCTGAGTTCTGGACAATGGTTTGAGCTCTGCTGAGATTTGCTTGGAAGTTATTTCCCTAGTCCCCAGTTAAAAACCTGGTGGAAAGACTAATTTGTGAGTGCAGTATAACCCATTCCAGCAGGTGGCAGTCTAACACACTGAATGGTTGTATGCCTCTAACTGTGGTTGCATGTCACACTGAGCACCTTTCATCTGCTGACAGGGATGGAACATGTTTGCTATTGTCTAAATCCTGTACACATGGTGATGATGACATTCCTGTTTTTTAATTGGTGAAACATTAGTTGCTGAAATGCTGCTGCATTGGCTTTTTTGCACAGTTTGCTATTTGTGTATCTCACAATTCTGGGAGAGGTATGTTTGTGTGAGTAGCTGGCTTAGAACATCAGGTGCTGGCAGGAGTCGGGTCTGGGAGCTTTCACCTTCTCAGCTGCTGAATGGACACAGATAAATAGTAGTTTGGTGACAAGAAAATGCTTTATTTCCTGCTTCAGGATGATAATTGGCTCAGTGTGGAAGTTAATATGATTTATTTGGGGATTAGTTAATAAAGAGATTAGGATGTAATGAATCCATGGGCATGAAGGGCCCTGTAGATGTAGTTAACTCACATGCTGTGGGCACTTAGAAATTCACAGCAACAGTGGGGTTGGAACTCTAATCCTTTTGTTCTAAAAAGACAGGCCCATATACGAGACTCTCTTCTGCTGCTAGCTGTATGGGGCCTATGCCACATAGAGAAGCAGCTTTAATTCCGTCCAGTTCAGAGCACATATCTTCCAACCATGGCACCACAATATGAAATGAGTGGCACAATGAAGCATTTGATTGTCCATAGGAGGGCTTTCAGCGTGGGTACAAATTGATTCAGCTCCCATTTAAATCCAGATCCATTGTCCTGTTTTGACCTGGCAGCCATGCTGGGTCAGAGAATTGCTCAGACTCTTTACATAGTTCACCTGGGCACTGAAGAACATCTAGTTCTGAAACCTTGTGAGACTCCCTACCTAATTGCTTCCTCCCTTCACCTAAAGCACTGTCCGTCCTGCAAGCTTGTGGAAACCACTAGACAATTTTGCCCTGTAGAGAGGTGCCAGTGCTTACTAATAAAGAGTGTGTTTTAGTGAAGGCAAGTCTGATCCATTGCTAGGAAGAGACATAGCAATCAGAACAGGGGAGAGAAAGGGTGGAGGTGGCATTAGAAAGGGTGGAGGTGGCATTTGGGCCTCCCAGTGGAGAGTAAACTCTGATAGAAGTTAAGTCCATTGTGCCATTTTTGCATTGTGAATGTAGTATGTGGGGCTCTCCTATCAGTGACACTCTTCAGGTGAAATGTCCCATTCTTTCTTTTGAATGATAGAGCTGTCAAAGACTAGCTGCTGGAAGCTACAGTAGTGGGGGGAGATCAGAGACCAGTCAGAGATGTGAGGACATGAGAGGACTGAGAGATGTTCTCATGTGCTCCCCATGTGGGCTGGGGACAGTTGCAGGAAAGCTGGCTTGACTACATTGGCATATTTAGCCCTTTGAGCAGTGCACTCTGTCTATGTGCATTTTGTCATTTTCCTAACGAGAAGGAAATGGTTAGAGGGAAAGATCAGGAACCTCTGACTTCATCTCCTCCTTCCACCTGTATTTATTTAGCTGAGCAAGAAAACACATCTGAGTGTGCAGTTTCACTGCTGGCCCCTTGTGAGGCATGAAAGTCAGTGTCAAGAGCCCTCAGCCAATGTCAGCATGTCAAAGATTTGATTTTACAACTATATTTTGTTACTGTTTGATATCTGCTGCCTATTGAATCCTGAGCAGAGTGGGATTGCTCACCCACTGAAATACAGCTGTCTCTGAAGGAGGTGCACCAGCAACATCAAAGTTACACAATTTCTAGCAAGGGAAAGTTTGAGAGGCAGTATTGTCTAGTGGATAGGGCATGCATCTAGGCCACAGCAGGCCTGGGATGCCAGCTCTGCAACTGATAGAGCTGTATGACCTTGCAGAAGTCATTTCACATTCACCTACTTTGCCTATCTGGATTGTAAACACTTTGGGGCAGGTGTTGTCTCTTAATGTATGTTTTTACCATGCCTACCGCAATGGGGCACTGATCTCAGCTGTGGCCTCTAAGCACTACTGCAATACTAGTGATTGATGATGATAAAGGGAGAGACTGTTATTCTTTTTAAATTGCTGCTACAGGAGGGAATGTTTAGTTTGGCAAAATGAAATGTCTTGAGTTGGATTTTGGCCAGCACCCTGGAGCTGACACATCTCATGATGTATATGTGTCTGATGACCCAGGTGGCAGAAATATATTCCCATGTCTGGTCTGGATTTGTTCTGAGTCTGTGATGCAGACAGAGAGCTCAAGGGAAACCGTTCAAAGACTGAAGACTTGTCTCATTTCTTTTGAGATGTGGGTGTTTGTTTATTTATAATGGTCAGTACAGATCAGTGTAATATGGAGGCTAGAGGGCTAACACTGGTCTTGTTGGATCACAGAATCCAACACAGTGGGCCCAATCCTCAGTTGGTGTTACTAAGTGTAGCTCCATCCAAGTGAACAACGCCAGGCCAATTTATACCAACTGGGGACCTGATCCAGAAACTAGGACGGGGTGGGCAATCTCCAGGGCTAGCCCCTTGTGGGCCACCAGACACTTTATTTACCTGTGCGTCTGCAGGTATGGCTGTTCTCAATTCCCATTAGTTGTGGTTCGCCCTTTCCAGCCACTGGGAGCTGCAGAAAGCACACAGGTAAATAAAGGATCAAGTGGCCTGCCAGGAACTAACCTTGGTGAACCAAGTCCAGCCCACGGGCTGCTTATTGCCCACTCCTAGACTAGCAAGACTAAGGCTAAAAAAATTATTGAAGAAATTGACATTATTTCTCCATTGTTTTTCTTCCCCCAGGGCTGCCATTGAGGTTCTAGCAGCTTTGCTGAAATCAAGTAAGCACCTTCTGTTTATATTCTTGCTGACAACTTTCTGTCTGTGCACTTGGATAAACATGTCCTACAGCGATGGATTGCATTCTTCTCCAAATCAACTTCACCTTCCACCTCTGAAATGCGGTAGACCAAAGTAATCTGTGTTGAGAAATGAGAGGGAATAATATGCATTATTTATTGCATGTCTTGCCATGTTTCCCCCTGTGTTTCTGTGATGATGAAGGTGGGAGATCCTAAGATCGTACCTAGACGTTATGGGTATGTCTAAACTACATGGCTCCATTGACAGAGCCATGTAGATGAGTTTACTAGACATAGGAAAATGAAGCGGTGATTTAAATAATCGCTGCTTCATTTACATGAAAATTGCCACTGCGCTGTGCCGATCAGCTGTTTGGCGGCACAGCGGGGCAGTTTGGATGTACCGCGGTCGACAAGGGAAGCCTTTGTAGACCACTCCGGTAAACCTAATTTCACAAGGCATACCGGAGCGGTTGACAAAGACTTCCCTTGTCGACTGTGGCGTGTCCAGACTGCCCCGCTGTGCCGCCAAACAGCTGATCAGCACAGCGCCGTGGCCATTTTTATGTTATCGTACCTAGACGTTATGGGTATGTCTAATCTACATGGCTCCGTAGATGTAGTCTAGACATACCCTATGGTATGAGCTCCTTAAATGAAATGACCAAGGTGGTTACTTGGTCTTAATTTTTTTGGAAGGGCTTAGAAGAGTTCTGCAGACTGTTGTGATGACAACACTTTCACTTTATTCTTCCCTGCTAGCCTCTTAGGTCTCCACTTGTCCTTGGAGTCCTGCAGATTTGCAAGCTAGCCCTGGCACTTAGGCTATGTCTACACTACAAGGTTTTTGCGCAAAGAGAGCTGTTTTTGCGCAAAAACCTGCGGAGCATCCACACCTCAAATGAGCTCTTGCGCAATTAAATGGGCAGTTAAACAGCAGAACAGAGGGCTTTTTCTGCCATAGATAAACCTCCTTTTCTGAGGCATAACTGCTTTTAGTGCTACAGCTATTGCACAAGAAGGCAAGTGTGGATGCTCCAGAGCAAGAAACCCCTATGGGAAAAAGCACAGGTGCTCTGATGGCCATTCTGTGAATGGCAATTGGAGCTTTCTTGTGCAAGAGCATCCATTCGGTGTGGACACTCTCTTGCACAAAAGCACATGGCTTTTGCGATGTGCTTTGAGATGTGGACATGCTCTTGCTCAAGAAGTTTTTGTGCAAAAACACTTATGCAAAAGGCTTCTTGCACACGAAACATGTAGTGTGGACGTAGCCTTAGTGATTGTCTTTGCGTAGCCAGGCTCTGGCAGTGAGCGCAAAAGGCTTCTTGCACACGAAGCATGTAGTGAGGACGTAGCCTTAGTGATTGCCTTTGCGTAGCCAGGCTCTGGCAGTGAGTATCTAAGGGTGCGTCTACACTGCTGGGCCTAACTCGAAATAAGCTATGCAAAATGAGCTATGTCAATTGCGTATCTTATTTCAAAACAGCTTATTTCAAAATAGGGAGCATCTACACAGTACTTATTTCAAAATAGAGCACTCTTCTTCTGACTTCCCTTATTCCTCGTACAATGAGGGTTACAGGAGTCGGAGTAAGAAGTCCTCCAGCTTGTCCTCTGACACTATTTCAAAATAACTGCCTGCTGTGTAGAAGCAGACTAAATTATTTCAGAATTGTGTTAGTTATTTCAAAATAGTGTTACAGTGTAGACATACCCCAACACTGGTAGTGTATGTTTGTAGGTGTTAGGGGCTTTTAGCTTGGGTCTCTCTGCATGTACTCTGGGCTTGAATGTTCCTGAAGTGAACGTGTTACCCTTTCTTGCCTTTATCTCATCCAAAAACACTTAGTTTTTTTATTACCAGGATTTAATAAAGCTTTGATTAAGAAAGAGTGCTCTACTATTGCAGACAATCTCCTCTCCAATAAATCACAATGGCGTATTGTCCTTTCCCTCTTCACTCCTCCCCGCCCCCTTTGCTCGTTCCCTTCTCTCTTCTTTTCATGAGCATTAGGAATAAATGCATTTGTGAAAAATTGTAGGCCTGGAAGCAGTGCTTAAATGAGCATGCGGCAATGGGATCATGTCTGAGGTGCACCAGCTCAAGTGATGAATTTTCAAATAATGCTCCGGTATTAACCTTGCTGCTTAGTTTTAAAGGTCACATTATTGCAACAAGGAAACACCTTCTGGTTCAGATAGTAAATCTTAATAAGGGGGTGATGGGGCCACTCCAGAGCTGCCTTCAACTTAAAAGCAAAATTAGCATTTAGAGAAGGAAGAATTTGCAGAGAGGAGGGGTGCGGCAGAGACGGGGAGTGGAAAGCTCAGTAGGAAGCACAAATCCTTCTACGGTAATCCTGCTTTATGGTCTGGTGCTGTGAAGTGAGAGTCTCCTGTGTCAGTGGTGTTGCTGGGATCAGTCTTCCTGTTCCGACTCTCCCTGCATCTGGGAGCTACTAGGAGTGTGGAGAATTGTTTCCCATATGAGATGATGGACCTGAATTGCTTGGGGAGTTTTGAAACCAGCTGGGACAGATTACTATTAAATATTCAGGAAGGAACAACCCTTATGCTGGCTGGGGATGGGCAAGACCTTTCCTGTTCTGATTTCTAGCCCCAGAGGATACAGTTGCTCTACTTCAGCTTTTCAGTCATTCTATGCTAGCTTCTCAGTAGAAGAAATTCAGTGTTGTTTCATTTCATGTTCAGTTCTTCTTGGCCCACCCTGATATGGTGGTGGCCTCTTTGTTGTTGCTGCTCCCACCAACATCCTTTGTCATGAGAAATATGGGCATATAGGGGTTGCAATGCTGGAGCCGCCCATTCCAGTTACCAATATGAGATGCTTCCAAAGAAAATATAACCCCCAAATGACACATAATGCTTGCGATCTATTGGGCAAAATGATCAATGGCAGTTATACGGATTGAACCTCTCTAGTCCGGCATCCTCGGGACCCGATAAGTGCTGAAGCAGAGAATTTGCTGAACCCTGGGAAGTCAATATTGTCTAGCTGCATTACCAACAGTTCCACTGCTTTTTGGGCTCTTGGGAGATATTTAGGGGTAAACTAGAGCTAAATAATAGCCCAGAACACTGAGAGCTAGAATTGGTTGCCATAAGTAGCAGGTGTAATGCGCAAGGGAAGGCAATGCCTTCCCAAACTGCCAGCCTGGCCCCACCCACACTCTGCCCCCAGCGTCCACCCCTCTTCAGTGTGTTTTCACCACGCTGTCTGGACTATAGCCCCACTGAGGCGGTGGCTGTGCCACCAGTTCTTCAAGGGCTGGGTGCCCCCCCCTCTACTCAGTGCTCCAGCTGGGGCCAAGGAAGCCTGTGGCCATGCGCCATCTATCTCCTCTTTTCCCCTCCTCTGCACTCTGGCTGGGGCGGAAGAAGGGTGGGACCATGTGCTCTCCTTCTCCTGTGTTCCGGCTGCAGAAGGCTGGGGCCATGTGCTGCCTACTCTCCCTCCCCTATGTCCAAGCTGGGCTGGGGGAATTCTGGAGCTCAGCTCCACCCACTCTCCCTCCCCTGTTCCCTGGCTGAGGAGGGCTGGGGCTATGCCATGTCCCCTACTCTCTCTCCCCCCATGCTCAGGCCAGGGACAGCAGGAGTATGATCCCTGCTCTCCCTCCCCTGTGCTCTGTCCACGGCTGGGGGATGCTGGAGCTGTACGCCACGCCTCCCATCCATGCCCTTGGGTGAGGGGGAAGGCTGGGGTCGCCCACTGCCTACAGGAGGAAGGGTGGCCTCCTCCTACAGTGAGGGGGGTGCTTGTCTTCCACAGGGTGCTAGATGGCAGGGGCGGGGCAGGGGTTCACCTGCCACCCATGCTGGTGGCTGTAAACCAACTTTATGGGGTTTGTGGGAAACGTGGCCACACCCATGATGAGAGAACATCTTGCTAACTAAAATCATGCTGGACAATTGATGTTGCCAGACCAGAGAGTGTAGGACTAGGGAGGTTCAACCTGTAGTTTCCTACAATCCCTTCTATTTGGGTGATCCACACAAGTTCTTTATTAGGATTCTCAAATGCTTCCACAACGTGGCTCATATCGGAAAATTAGTGTTTTGTTTGTCTGCAGAAAGCTACTGTTTTATTATCATGTGGACAACCTCCCAGCCTATTTGCAATTGCACAATGGTTGATTGACAGCTACAGCAATCGCTTAGTAGAAAAGTGACATTAGGAAAGTAAGCGTGGTATTTTAACTGTTTTAAAAAAAATGTGACATAACTGGAACCATGGAGACTGAGCCAACACCATGTGATCAGCTCTGCCCACATCACCATCAGTGGCTCTGTGGTTCCCCAGTAGTCCATACATAAGAGGGTTACAGGTCTAGACTATGATTTGGGTTTCTTCTCACTCTTAAGGTATATCTACACTGCAACACTATTTCAAAATAACTAGCACTATTCCAAAATAACTTTGTCAATATCTACACAAGAGGCAGTTATTTTGAAATAGTGTCAAGTTGGAGGAGTTCTTACTCCAACTCCTGTAAACCTCAATGTGGCTACATCTAGACTGCAAGCTTCTTTTGGAAGAAGCTTTTCCAGAAGAGATGAAAAACTTTTTTCAAAAGAGAGCATCCACAGCAAAAGTGCAATGAAAAAGCGATGTGCTTTTTTGAAAGATAGTGTCCACATTGATTGGACGCTATCTCGCATTTCAGCAGTGATTACTGTGGACGGAGTGGCCACCAGGGCACCTGTGATTTTTCCTGGAGGCCTCTTCTTTTGAAAAAAACCCACTCTTCTGCATCCACAAATACGTTTTTCCAAAAAAGATTTTTTGGACAAAGGTTTTTTCCTCATAGAAAGAGATATACTGCTGTTGCAAAACCCCTTCCATTCTTTCGACTTTCTATTGAAAGAACGCAATAGCAGTGTGGACGTAAGTATAGTTTTTCCGGAAAATCGGCCGTTTTTCTGGAAAAACTCTGTAATGTAGACATACCCTG